CTGCGGTGGGGACAGCTTCTGGTTGGCCTGGATCTTCATGAGCAGCCTCTGCCGTGGACAGCGTAGCCGGTTGGGTGGCAGATGGTGAAGATGTATCGACACTGTGTGCATTGAACAAGCTCTGGAAGGCTTCCTTAGAAGGCTTGCCCTTCTTGGCAGTTCCTTTGGCTGCCTTTGGTGTGGCCTTGGCCTTGGGTGTCCGCTTGGGTGTCCGCTTGGGTGTCGGCTTCGGTTTCGGGTTGGCTTTGGCCCGGCCCATGCCAAACGAAACAAACACAGTGTGTTACACACTGCCCCAAGAAGCTGACTTTGGAACTGTGAGCCACAACTAGCTGTAGCTGAACTCTATGAAAAATACTTCCCTATATTATACTCTCTAACCGTTAGCCCAACAAGTCTTTGAAGTCTGAATTCAAGTGTTGTGAATTCTTTAGCAACTTTTCTGTTTGCTCTGCGAGCGGTAAGCGGGATGCATTCCAGGAAGACAGCTACAATCTGCAAAACTATTGTACACCCTCAATCTTAGCACTGCACTTATTGATGCTGAACCTGCACACATCCTAAACCCTTTACCTTGGCTTGGCTTGTCCAAACATCCGTGCAAAGCCAAAGCCATCCACTATGCAGCATTCTGGGTTTTGGAGGCTTGGTTGATTGAGCTGATCAAATTAGTCAGCTGAGCCTGCAGAAACCCAGGAAGTTCAATTGAATTCTCCGCTGCAAAGGCCAAAGCTCTCTTCCTTACTGGCTCTCCATTTTGTATCGGTGGTAGAATTTTATAAGTTAAACACTAACCTAAAGAAACCCCCAAAACTGAAGTGGAAACCGGCAAGTCAAAGTCCAAGCAGCGCCCTTACCGCGGCATCTGGCAACTTCTTCTTAGCGGCCTTGCTGATGATGATCTTGATGGAGGTCCAACATCCAATGGAGAGTAAGCTCGCTTTTGCTTGCTGCGTTGCAGCCCCCAAAGAAGGAAGGTAGAGTTCAGTCTCGTTACCCTTCAGCTTGAGCTCGTGGATAGACACTTTTGCAGCGCCAATGATGTGCTCTAGAGATTGAAGCCCTGACATGAGTTCCTCACCCTTGCTTTCACAAGCGTCATAGAAGGGCTTTTGGTTATCCTCTGTCAACTCTCCAAGAGCAATGGATCCAAGAGCAGAGGTTCCTTTGTCTAAGTCGGCACAAATTTTGTTCCGGTGCTCATTGAAAAGCGTCTGAGTATCAGAAATGGCTTTCACCTTGCTGATTAGGAAGTTCATCAAGAAAAGCAACATTTACTGCTAGCAAAAAGCGCTGCAAAACAAGAAAACAATCTGAACAACCGCCGGAGCGCAAAGAACTCCTCGAATTGTTCATGACGGATTTCATTGCCTTCCTCATTGAACAACATGCCAAAGACCACCAACGCAGCGTGCTTCACCTTGTCCACGTCGATCGACAGTGGGGAAGCTGGAAGAAGCAGATCAGCAAGCTTGACGTCAAGGTCACAAAGAAGTTGGCAGAAAGAAACGAATTCGGGAAGCGGGTCCTTTGCCCTGTGAGCCCTAGCTTCCACTAGCTGCAAGACATCACGCGACACATTCACGGCCATTGATGCCTTCGACCGTTTCTCAATGTCGGAGAAGCCGGTTGCAATCAAGCTACCCTCATTGCATTTGGCAATGGCTGCTTTGAGGTCACGGTCACCCATGGATGAAGCGGATGTGCAAAGCGAACCGATCATTGTTGAAGCTGCCTGCATGACATCCTTGAGCTCAGCCATGTAGCACTTCTCAGCTAGGGATTGCAAGAGCAATGTAACAGGTGTCAGAGCGTGCTCCACTGAAGCAAATGATTCACAGAACTTCTTGCAAGCCGACTGCCATTTTTCCCAGATGCACACAAACATGCGCTGCCTTCACTGAGCCCTGCTTGAAGCTTTGAGTAAGCTCAAACATCTCCGAAATCTTCCCAGCAAAGTTTGACAACTCACCAAGCTTGGCAGTGAGAGTGCTAGGGAGCTTTTGAATGTGGGACACAGGGAAGCCTGGAAGAGTGCTTGCTCCAGTCAGTGATGCTTGAGCTGAAACAAGCCAAGGCTGGAACTCTGCAACCAAATGAGCATCAATGATCTTGTCGTCAATGACAACGTTCAACAATAGCTTTCGCGTCGACTCCACACGTTTGGCTGATTCCTCATCTAGGGTGTTTTTTTGGATGCTATCTAGTGTCTCAATCAATTCCGACACCTGCCCAATTTCACCGCGAGCATAGTTGTCCTTGATATTCAATACCAAAGACTGAACCCCTTTCTGTGCATCCTCAATCTTTGACAAATGGGCATGTGTTTTCTCCCTTTCGATCACATACTCATCCGCAATCTCCAGGATGCGTTTGCCTTGAGGCAACCCTTCAAATGACGCCAACACCGAAGCTTCCGTAGAGGCAGCAGAGTCTCTGACAAGCTTGACACTTGCCTTTACCACTGCTGGAGACAAAGAGCTTGCTCTAAGTACAGTCTTGATGGTCATGAACTGTTCCACAACCCCATCGATCAACAGCTTCTCTGCCATGGTAGTCACAAAGCTATACAACGGAACCATGGTGTCCAGGCTTGGGTCCAAAGCCACCTGGAGCAAAATGGAGCAAAATAAAGCAGAAAGAATTCTGAGCTAGGTAGCCACCTGCCCTACCACCTACCCTAGCACCTACCACCCACCCTATCACACCTACCCGCTTCCTGCCTGGTTGACCTGGAGTGACTTCAGAAGCTTTTGCAAAATAGTGCAGAGCTGCTGCCCAAACCAAGAGTGAGGTTCATTTGCATGACGCACTGCCATTTTGTAGGTAACACTCAGCATCTTGTCAAACCTTGACCAGCGTAGATCATCAGTCAAAAGGCCCTTGATGACCCGCAAATGAAAAGCTGAATCAAATTTGCAGCCAGCTGATTCCTTAAGAAGAAGTCACACAGAAGAGCACGGACTTAGAATGCACCAGCTTCAACACAGATCAGAATCAGAAACAGTTTCTGATTTACAACAAAGGCACTAGCACACCAATCATGCGGAGAGCTTCATCGCCAGAGAACGTAGGTCCCGAAACAGCTTTGACAAGCAAGTTGCCCTCCTTGATGATACTCTCCAATTCAGTCACAGCCTCCATGGTAGCGTCAGAGCAATGTGTCCGTCTTGTCAAATTCCTTTTGCGAGAGCGGACCTGTCAGGAAACCATCGGAAACCTGGCGCTAGCAACACGGTTAAACCTTTTCCCATTTCCAGCATCTACTGTATGTCATTTCAATACGTTCACCCCCCCCACCTCGTTCAGTAGCTTTGCGGAACTCTTGGCGGCGCTTGTCGGGGTCGTCTTGGCGTGTTCGATCTCTGCTTCCTCGACTGGGTTCTCATATTTGAGCTCCAGGTTGAACACACCTTCAATCTTCTTCTGATAGGTCTCATACCACTGAGAATCAGCGTCAGCTATGGTGTCCTTCTCAGCTTGGTCATCTGCTTTCCTTTTGATTGGACCAGCCTTGGGAGCTGGTGTCTTTGGTTCATCTTGGTGGGACGAACCGCCAATGCCCTGATCAATCGGATTCATGCTAATCAAGGATGACTTCCTAGCCTCTTTGGCAGGTGGAGCACTTGTGTTGCCACCTCCATCACGTCCCCGCTTTTGATGGGGTGTTTGCCTTGGCTGGGGTGGAAGCGGCACCTGCTTTGGCACCGCTTTTTGCTTTGGCACCGCCTTTGCTCCAGCTTTGGCAGCTCTCTTGGGGGATGCGCCATTGCGAAAGGTCAGGAAGTGTGATGCCCACAAATCTCCAGCGTCTGAAGCGGCATCCGTTGGCTGAGGCACATCTGCCTGCTGAAGAGTGCGGGTGGTTGGCACAGCCACAGTTGTTGCCGCCTGGGCAGGCTCCACAGCAGACTCAGCTCCTGAAGTCAAAGACCAGAATGTTTTCAATCCGCTGGAATTCCCAAAGAGCATGCCTGTCATGCGGCCGAATACTTTATCGGCTGCCTCGAGCTCGGGATCAGGGTCATTCACATCTGTGGATTTGTTGACTGACGTGGCTGTTGAATCCTCAAGCTTGAAGATACCTGGCTCACCATCTTCAAACAGATCTCGCCAGCGTCTGCCAGCACACCGCACCTGAGTGCACACTGCTCAAACAATATTCACAATACATAAGAACAATACAAAATAAAACAAATATAAATATCAGTGAGTTAAGTATGAAGTGCAGTGTGGCCGCGTAGGGTTTGCTTGTCCCATCATAGCCCCCCCACACGATCAGATCATCCCCGGGTGGTGCTTCAAACTTGGTGAAAAGGCATACCTCCACCATGTAGGCAGCTGGTCGTATCACTGTTTGGGTTCGCCTCTTTTCTGCTGTAACCAACCTGAGTGAGATTGAGTCTGACAACCTTGCCTTAGATGGTTACCTTGGTTGACAAGAAACGTCCTCGGGCCAAGTTGGTCTGCACTCCTGATGCGGATATTCGGGTCGCTGATCTTTAGCTGGATCAAGCACTCTCCTTGAGCAATGAACCTTGAGCAATGAACAGTTCACTGCAGGCTACACAGCAGTACACTTCACTTCTAAGTTCTAAGTACCAGGCGCATGTTGCTTAGTAGGTTCTTTCAGAAATAGGGTCTTGATCTTGCGTAGATTGCCACATTCAGCCAACCAGCCGCCAGAAACATGTACCTAAACCCAGCCCAATGCACTCAACCCGTTTGCAGGCAGTCAAACATTGATTTTGCATCCTGCCTAGTTACATTGCAACAAATCCTGCACGTAAGGCCCGATGGATGCTCGCGGCAGCCTAACCCCCAGGGGAATAGTGGATGCCACTTAGTGTAGTCAGCACCAATCAACGTCCAAGGACAAAGCATGTTGCTCCAGCGGCCACAAAACTGGCAACCTAGGACTGTACACAATGGACTGATTCCTACTTACCCCACCCTTGAGTCTTGAGTGATATGTTAGCAAAGAGGCGGATGACAATGTAGTCGTCCGGAAGATCAGCTCCGACCGGGTTTGTTGGAGCAGTATCAGGTGTTTCTGATGCTGCCCACCATGCCGCTGCCATGGTAAGAAACACAAGGCAACTGAAACAAGCGTGTTGTTTGTGAGTGGTTTGAACACAAGCTGCGAACATCCTGAACATCACCACATTGCCACCTGCCTTCTCACCTGGTGTGTCACCACCTTGTCACCTACCTTGTCACCTGTGTGTCGCCACCATGTCGCCACTCTGTCAGCTGTATGTCGCTACCCTGTCGCCACCTTGTCATGTGTGTGTCGCCACCTTGTTGCCACTAGACCTTATTGTATGCCACTAGACCTTATTGTCTGCCACTAGACTCTAGTGGCAGCCCAAATAGAGCTTGCAGGCAGACATAAGGTCTAGTGGCAACCAGCTGACGGCAGATGGATGGCAGACTGACGGCAGACCTGTGACATACTGATGGCAGGGCAGTGACATACTGACGGCAAAGCTGACGGCAGAACGGTGGCATACTGACTGAGTTACTGACTGGTAAGGCAGTGGCAAAAGAATATTACACAAGACTGAAAAAAACATCCTCACCTTGCTTTGTGTACCAGTCATGCCTTGCTTGTTCTCCTGGTAGCGCCTTTGTTCACATCAGTACTGTTGCCCTCCTACCCAAACATTGAATTGGCAACACCTGCCAACCAGAGAGACACAATGCAATACTAATACGTCGGTCAATTCATTGCAAAAGCGAAACACACTTTTTTCCTTGTCCGTGTGTTTGGCACTGAGTATACACCACCCCTACATGCAGCACAATGTTCTGAATTCAAACACGCCTGATCAAGAGCGTAAGCCAGTCACTATGCATAGTCCTGAGCGTCATTTGTCCTGGCACCAGAAGCAGCGTTAGTTGGTTTGTTTTTGTGCATCATTGAACAGATGTTTGGAAGCAAAAATACACACTGCCCGCCTGCACATATATTGCTTGGACATACACGCACTTCTCTATCGTACCATTGCCTTATCTCCACAAAAGCTGGCTGTTTCCTTTCATATCAGACATCACTTGCGTATGAAAATGTAGGTCAGGTGCAGAAAACATGTTCTTGTGTTCCACTTGCTTGTCTTGCTCTGGGAAACTCAAAAAGCCAGCGTAAAACCAATCATTGATCAAACTCTCTGCATTCATGGGAAGAGCTTTCGCGGACCGGAATAGTTGACACCCCTTGTCCCCTTGTGGAGCTTGCATTCGATATTGAGTCGGTGATGTGGTTCACCAGCGGCCAAATGAGCAATTCTGCCTCCAAAACAACACTGTGCAACTTACTACCAAACCAAACCCTACCAGGCCCTACCAATGCTGTTATGTGCGGTAGCTGAAACCTTTGAGGAGGCTTCCCTGCCTATCAAGCGAACTTTCTTTCCTTCATGGTTGAGTGCCCAGCAATAGCCTTTGGAATCATACTCATAAGGAAGTCCGGATTGGCGACCACTAGATGCTTGTGCCTGAGCAGGACAATACAACCCTGCCAACCAAATCTTAACCAAGCACGATGCTTCTGCTATGCTCAGCTCCCTGCTCTGTTATGCTTCCTCATCCTGTTTGCTTCCTCGTATATAAATCCTAGTTAGGTATTCGGTATTGTAATATACTATACTATACTGTAGTAATATGTTATAATGCTAGTCAGGACAGGTTGCAGCGTTGCACACACGCAAGACCTAGACCATCCTAAATCCCAATCCTGACCTGGCCAATACATTGGCCAATCAGCAACTAAACAACACTCACACAGAACATCTTTGCGCGCCGGAAAGTGGGGTAGTGTGTGTGAAACAGTCAGTTAGGAAGTTAGGAAGGTTCGACCCACACACTGTGTCAAAACTCAAGAGGGTTTACGGCTAATGTGCACCAAAGGAAAAAAGCTCACAGGGTTGTCATTCCTTAGCGCACACACCTTTGAGTGCACATTCAAAGCAGTTCACTGGCCAATCTCTGGGTTTTATCCTTAGCCAACAATCAGTAGGACACTCTGGACTCAAACACTGTATTCACAAATGTTTGACCCGCCTTAGTGCGCAAAAGAGTAATGTTCAGGCCAATGTCTGTGCAAACACGAGCAGGATTAGGATTGGTAGCGCCCACAACCTTTGAGTGCACAATCAGTTAACTTCTGTTCACTGGCCAATCTCCGGGTTTAGCCTTAGTGAACCCTCAGTTAGGACACTCTGGACTTTGGCCCCGAAGGCTGTATTCACAAATGCGTTACCCGCCTTAATGCGCCAAAGAACACTGAAAGGAATATGTGCTGTGTTGGTGACTCTAACACATTTGCGAATAGTATTCTTTGGTGTAGGAAGGCAAGTGAGACCTTGGGCAATGATGGACTCTAGGGTAGCCTTGTCCCTGCCTACCAAGAATGAAAGCTAAACAACACGCTGGTGAGTAATTGGAAAGATACAATCCCCTCTACAAACACAACACCTGAGCATATAGTGTTTGGGGCAAGGCTTTCTATATCTTTGACAAACAAATTCTCCGCTAGCGCACGCTCCCGCATTTCAAACAAGCAAACACATGCTCACGCTCCTGCCTGAGCAAACTGTTGGCGCTTACCAGAAGAAGAAGAAGCTGCAGCTTGAGAAGGCTTGCCAAAAGAAGGTGCCGCTTCAGAACGCTTTTTGCTGCACTCGAATCTGGATACTTGACCCTTGTGCAATGCCCTAGCCTCCAACCAATCTGCAATCAACTCTTGCTCCTGCTCATTGTCGCCCTTCTTTGTGCCATTGCTGCCTTAGCTTTGCACATTGCATCAACCAAACAACCTCGTGAAACAAAGAAGACGCTAAACATTCTAGTGACTATCGGATAGCGCATGAAATAGCTTTAGATATAGTCTTTGGCCAGTATTGACATCTACAAAAAATATATATATATATATATATATTTATATGCATGCATTAAAACAATACAATAATACATATATATAGATAGAGATACTATATTATGTTATTGTATTTTTGATTTCTACAATATCAACTAATGATGCACTAGTTTGCATATGTATGCAGATGTCACGTGTCATAGAGTAATATATCATATGAAACTCTATATGACTATAATATGACTCCATATGACTATAGCCTATAGCCCTAGCCATTTCTACTACACTACTGAACATTACAATACGATTCCGATACTATCCTCCAAGCAGAGGTGCGTTTAGGTTCTGAAGGTTTAGCTGCTGGTGGTGGACGAATACGATCCATGGGCAATGGCTTGTCTTCCCCATTTGCCTCCTCAGCATCATCTAACTCCTCCTCAGCACTACTGCTCTCCAAGTCCTCCTTTGTCATGGAAACCCATTGCCAGTCAGACACCACATGCAAGTGTTTGAGAACAGAATCCCAGAACACACAATAGGAAGGCAGCGTATAAAGCAGCGAGTCCATTTGCCCTTCACAATCCTTCACAATTCCACACAAGACTTGCTCATAGCTTTGGATGTCGGGAGTTAGCCGGCCAGCAGCATCCTTGAAACGCAGCTTTGCTGTGAAGGGTTGAGATCGTCCAATACTTCGTGGTAGATCAACCTGCCAACCGTGCAAACGCAAGCGTTGAATCGTAAATTCACCAGCAGCCAGCCACGCAAAGCCTTGGATGTTCTCACAATGAGAAGCGGGTGTCTCTTGCTTCCTGTGATGATGGTAGACTCCTTCTTCCGGTTGCGCACGCGCTCACCACGGATGATATTTAGCAGCAATCCATTTGCAAGGTTCAAGGCAAACTGATTCAAGCCTTTTCGGACACTGGTCCAGCAAAATTCCAAAGTACACTTGTCAGCACGCTGCTTTTGCTTTGGTATTTGCCCTTGTGGTTCACAGATCTTGTTTGTCAACACCTTCCATCTTGCAAAGGACTTGGTGACAAGACCCCGGTGGGTTTGCTGCAGCTTTTCGACAATAGACATGGCAAGGGGGTAGTCTGAGTCTCCAATTCCATGGTGCCCAATACCAATGTTTGTCTTGTGCTGCAGCTGATCTGCATTCCGAGGAACTGCCACAGCAACAGCGTTTTCCTCTCGCGCTTTCTTCGCAAAGGCTTCCCGAAGAGATTCGTTTGCCTGAGGTAAGAACGGGAGAAACAACATCAATTGGGATTAGCAGTGGGTTAAAAAAGAACAGCATGTACCTATAGTGCTAGTACGGAGGTTGACAGAGAAGAAAACAAAACCCAACCACAGAGCATGAAAAAGAAACAACCGAAGGGGGAGAGAAAATTCACGACCAAAGAACATATATATATATATACAGTATATTATATCTATACACATATCATATATATATATATACAGACATAGCTGTTAGCTGTTAAAGCGAGATGCTTGCCACTCCAACCGTGCTTGCTGCGTGATTCTGGCCAATCTGTCTCTCGCACTCTCGCCAGCCAAAGGTGTATCAGACTTTCTTTTCTCTCTGTGGAAAAGAAGCCATCCATTAACTTTGGGCTTCTTCATGTCCACTGTTTCAGGCTCAGCTATTTGCGCAGAAACCCTTGCCACAGGATGGTGAACGCTGTCAAGCTGCTTTGCGCCTCTTAGCAACTCAGCTACCTCAGCAGTCAGCGGCGCTGACTTCCTCAAACCATGTTCAGCAGCTTTGTCCGGCAGAGCTGGAATATCTGGAGCCCTCAAACATAGTGACGCTGAACCAGAAGGAGCTCGAAGTACAGACAAAGGAGTTTGTTGATGAACTCTCTCATCACTCAAACCCAGATCAGGCAAAGTCCCAAGAACATCCATATGTAGTGCGTGCGGCTGAATCAAGTCTGGCATGTTCTTCTTCTTCTTGTCTGAGGAACAATGTTTGCAGTGTCCACTCTTGAGTTCTGCAAGTACATGTTTTGAAGATGCACTGGCTTCTGAATAGCCCTTTCCTGCGCAAAGACAAATATAGAACTAGCACACACACACACTCTAAGAACTGCTTGCAAACACATCACAAAACATATCCTCACATTTTTGGGTATACAAGTGCAGACTATCAACCGCACTGTAAGAAGTTTGCCAAACTTGCCAATCGATTTGCTGTCCTTTGGAAGCAGACCGCATTGCGCATGCTCGAGCAAAATTGTCCTCAACCTCAATGTTGTGAACTTTGTGGCAGGACATGAGGTCAACTGCAGGAAACAACCGATGTCCAGGCAAAATATCAGAAGCTGTGCTCATCGCAGAGCAAAGGCGCACACCAAATGGTTCGTCTTTACAGCATGCAGGCGACTCCAAGAACCGTTGCCCGAGAGCTTCCTTTTGCTCAGTTGAAAGACGGTTGTCCACCAGTTGGGCAAGTGCCCATGGCCACTTCTTGTATGGAAGGTACTCTCTTGCGAAAACTTCGCTCGCAACTGAAATCAAAGCAAACGACAGCTTGTATAGTGCACTGCTTTGAATCTGGAACCTGGTCTGGTCATAGCGAGAATCGTAGCCACTGCCAGGGAGTCCTGAGTGGGGCACTGTTGGAATTAGTTGTCTTTAAAAACTGACGACTGCTTGAACAATCTATTCACCTGCAAGTGTTATCCTATTGTTACAGCTATGGTAGTGACAAGGCCATCTTTTTAATGCGCAAGCAAGATACCATCCAGAACACTACACGCAGAAGCAGGCGCTCTCCCAAGAAGTTCAGTGTACGTGGCCAAAACTTCTGTCGCTGGTGAGAAGCAGTCTGAAACCAGGTTTACCAGCGGCCGCTGAGACGGATCTGCTGCCAGCCAGGATGATTCCTTTGCCGGATGAACATACTAATCACATGATAAATACTAAAAAAACTAATAAAACATGTCTATATGATGTAAATACAGTTTCAGAACCCACAAAGCATATACGCATGTTTCACAACCCTTTCCTTGGTGTGAAAAACCTTGCCTTGGTGTCCTTGCCAAGGGACACTTTGCTGCTTGAACAGCCAAATGATTATGCGCTCAGCTGGCGCTGTAGAAAACACAGAGACGCACAGCTCACATAGAGTGTCAGGGGCTATGATCCACTGAACTGCTTTGAGTGCCCGGGCTCTGACAATCTTTGGAACAGGAAGCTCTGGTACCATAAATGCACCCCCAGCAGCAGCAGCTTCTGGCGCTGAGTTCCCTGGCGGGGCAACCAGTTGCCTCAGATCATTGTCCAAGTCCAAGCAAGCCTGGGTCAAGGTAGACTGGACATCGCCTGAAACTTTGACGTTGTACAAGGATTGGAAGCTGCGTGGTAGAATTTGATGTAGGGCGGACGCCACCCAAAACCATTTTGCAGTCTTCGAACACTTGAGCCAGCGCGAAAGGGCTGGTACACTCGGCCTGGTGGCAAAAATCACACCCAGTAGTGCAGCTTTGGCTTTAGCCACCACTTCCTCCTTGGTTCGGCAGCCGCAGCGGCAACCAAGCTGGCAATAATGAGCAATTCTGCTACTCCGCCAATCACCATTGAACATGAGGAGCAAGTAGTCAACCAACTCCTTTTTGTGAACTGAGGAATCAGCATCACCATCAACCTCTTTGATATGTACAGCCATGTCCACCACACGTCGTGCATAAGCTAGGCTTTCCCTGAGTCACAAAGCAGCCAAAACAGGATATCCATTATTTAAATTGATATGATATGATATGATATAAATCGATATATATATATATATGATATATTATATAAATCACAAAGTCTGTATTTATGTTTTGAACACTGTTGAATGGTGCCAGCTATAGAAGCGGATTGAACAACAAGGCGTCAAGTCTAAAGTCTCAATAAAAACACATGTGTTTGAAAGCGCAGCTTGAAAACAGTCTACATTAGCAGGAACAAGTATCGGGTTCGGAGGCTCATAAATAACTTCCAACTCTCGTTCGACGATTTTCCCTGCGTGAATGAGGAGGTCGAAAAAGACGTTTCCAGAGTGCAAAACTCTTGAAGCGCAAAACCTAAGGAACAGGCCAGAGGAAAGGAACACATTGAACCAACCACTAAGTCAACAGCAGCAAGCACGCAAGCAAAAGACAGGCTCCAGTAAAATGCTGTTTACACCAAGTCCTCTCCATATTGTTTCCACTGAATGGTGAGCTTCGTGCCTCAAGTGGCCACGCAAAACATGTACATGATTAGGAGGGAGGAGAGCCTTGAAGCCCTGGTGATGACCTGAAGCCTTGAAGACCTGAATCCTTGAAGACGTGAAGACCTGAAGCCTTGAAGACCTGAAGCCTTCTGACGACCTGAAGCCTTCTGACGACCTGAAGCCTTCTGACGACCTGAAGCCTTCTGACGACCTGAAGCCTTCTGACGACCTGAAGCCTTCTGACGACCTGACGCCTTCTGACGACCTGAAGCCTTGAAGACCTGAAGCTTTGTGTCTTCGTATCTTCGCGTCTTCGTGTCTTCGTGTCTTCGGGTCTTCGGGGCTTCGTGTCTTCGGGGCTTCGTGTCTTCGTGTCTTCGTGTCTTCGGGTCTTCGGGGCTTCGTGTCTTCGGGGCTTCGTGTCTTCGTGTCTTCGTGTCTTCGAGTCTTCGTGTCTTCGCGTCTTCGGGTCTTCGGGTCTTCGGGGCTTCGCGTCTTCGCGTCTTCGTGTCTTCGGGGCTTCGTGTCTTCGTGTCTTCGTGTCTTCGCGTCTTCGCGTCTTCGTGTCTTCGTGTCTTGTTGTTTTCTGATCTTCGGGTCTTGGCGTCTTCGCGTCTTCGCGTCTTCATGTCTTCGGGCCTTCGGGTCTGCATGACTTCGTGTCTCCGAGGCGTTATGTTTTCCTATCTTTGTGTCTCCGCGTGTCTTCGAGCCGTCGTAGTTTCGAGTCTTCGTGTCTTTGTCTTGGAGTCCTTGTGTTTGCGCATCTGGTCGCCTTCGTTCTTTGGACCCCTCGCGTCTCGGTGTCGTCTCAACAGCATGTCTTCGCAAGCTCATATCTTCTTGTCTTGGCCACTTTTTGTGAATTCGAGTCTGGCTATCTGGATGTCCGGTGACGCCGAAGTCAAAAATACATGACATGACATGAGTGTATAATCTTGGAATTTTTGGTGGCCATTTTGACCTGCGAGGCCACACATGATGACAGGTTATGCGCGACACTTCCAGGTTATTGGCATTTTTTTCCTCCAGAGCAGCGCGGCAGGGCGAAACTCTCTTCTTGGAAGTTTCCCGAAGTGTAGTAGCACATTTACCTTGGTGGAGGGGAGAATTGAAGCTGTGTCTGTTGATCAATTCATGTAGAGTAGATCAGTACCAATATGCATCCTGTTTCTGCCTAGCGTACAATGACATTTTTTTCAATCTATGAAAAAGACATTTGGTGGGCACCATCAGTTCTTGCCTACAGGAGGCCACTCAGGTCACCCAGTTGGTTGAAGTATAGAATTGTGTGTGCGCTTGTATGTGCCGATTCGCGACCCCGGCGCATGGTTTTTGATTGGCCTTTGTTGACGCGGTCATTCTTGAAGGCCCACGAATGTAGGAGCAGGTTGTCCTGGCGCAGAAGGCGCGGAGTGTTTGTTGGCAACAATAGCCAAGTACATATAGGCAAAGATTGACCACCATCATGAAATATTCGATGTGCATACATGTTCAATGCCTGGCATTGTTTGTTGGCCCGATAGCTGGTTGATTCTCGGCTGCTTGGAGTCGTACATCCTGACAGGCTTGTCACAATGGGTTGCTGGTTTTTCTGTGGGCATGAGGAGAGTGCTGGAGAATGAGAAGCTGTGGAGGGGAACAAATGTGGAGCAAATTTGGTTATACTACTGTCTAGTGACTTAGGCATATGTGGTTCAAGGTATATATCCACACGGCGACCCACAGGGCTAGGTCATCTGTGTTCACACATCGAACAATACAGGATGTCTAGGTGGGGAAACCTGGTGCCATAGGACCTTTGGACGCCTCCACCATTAAAAAAGAAGCCTCTTCACTGAACGTCTCATTTTCTATGGATTGTGATGGTTGTGGCCTGATGACATAGGACTTGAGAAAATGCCCATATTGGTTCAAGCCTGATGACATAGGCGTTGGGAAATCGCCATGTATGTTCGACAAGTCCTAAGTTACTAGTCAGTAGTAGATTATATTCGTCTCCGTCGTTTCTTTTTATGAATTATGAATGGGCGTTGTTCATTTCATGTGGGATGCACCTCTGTTTCCACGCGACCAGGTCTGGTGCCATGTTTCCCTTTCCAAACACCAACCTCTTTCTTTCTCTCTCTCTCTCTCGGTTTGTCTTCCTCTTTCTTTCACGTACTGATGCGACATTGGGTACGTCAGTGAGACGCCCTGCTCTAGGGCAAAGAAATACAGAGGCGCTTGCTCTGTGCGAAAGATCGCAGCGCACAAGTAGATTATGGTGAAGGCTGAAGATGCGCTCATGTTAGCTGGTCACAGTCGCTGTCCGTGGCGGAGTCCGCCAGTTCTCCTAATGTTGGTCTCTGATTCACCACAGAATGTCCATCTGTTCTGTAGACGCAGTCTCTATTCAATACTATTCCTTTTGCAGCCTGTGCTTCTTTGAACCTGTTGGTTGTAGTGTTTTCCCCGTTGCGCTGACGTCCTCCTGCGGCCTTTCTGATGTTACTATGTGTCAGTGGCTCTCGGCCGGAGCTAGGACTACCGCTGCCTGCCATGACAACAACAGTTCTTAGTGACCGATCTTTTTGGTATGCACGACAATGTCTACTATTAAAAATTTACATCGGAGAGCCTTATACTCTGATAGTGCAGAGTACATGCGAGTACACGAGTGTAGTTGAGGTTTCTTTGCTCACTCCCCTTAAGCCCTTTTCTGGCAGTGGTCGCAGACCACTATCTTTTCCGCTGGCAGGTCACCAAAGTCCAGGACAGGTATGACGCCTGTAAACCGCACAATGACCTTTACTGTGAGAAACACGGAGCAAACACCATGGGCAAGGCAATGTTAATTCCTGCATATTCGAGCTTTCTCTTGAACGCAATCCCAGTTCAGAGCGACGCCTTTGGACGCATGTTGGCATAGAAGCCATGTAAAAGAGGATATCCAACACTGCCTGGTGTATTGGCTGTTCTAGTGACGAACATGTGATCGCGCTTAAGGAGCTGGTGGGCACATGCTAAGAAAGTGGTACTGTCGTAGCCTTGAGAAAGAATTGTAAAATGGTTCTTTACCGCAACCTGAGACTACTTCCAGCATGGCCTCGGGGTTACCCTCTTCTTTTGCGGTGGGGTGTCCATCTGGTGCGCTCTTCTTGTTATTCTTCCAGCTTGGCACGACTGCTGTCGGTTCTCCATTCATTGTCCTTTGTTGTATTACGTGTGTTATTTTTAGCCACAGAATGTCCACCAGCTTTTCTCTTCTTTACACGCAGTCTCTTGTCCTTTTGCAGTGCTTGTCCTTTTGCAGTGCTTCTTTGAATGTCTTGGTAGCATTGTTTTCTTCGTCGCGCGCATCTTCTTCTGCGGCCTTTCTGTTGTTACTTTGTTTCGGTTTCGGTGGCTCTCGGCCGGAGCTAGGACTACAGCTGGCTGCCATAACAACAACAGTTCTTAGCGACCGATCTGTTTGGTGTACACGGCAGTGTCCACTATGGAAAATTTACACAGGAGAGCCTTACTCTGATAGCGCACAGCACATGCGAGCACACGAGTGTAGTTGAGATTTCTGTGCTCACTCCCCTTGCATCCTTTTGTTTTCAATGGTCGCAGACCACTATCTTTGCGGCTGGCAGGCCACCAAACTCCAGGACAGGTATGACGCCTGTAAACTGCACAATGACCTTTACTGGGAGAAACACGGAGCAAAAACCATGGGCAAAGCAACGTTAATTCCTGCATATTCGAGCTTTGTTTTGAACACAGTGCAAGTTGAGAGCGACGCCTTGTGGACGCATGTTGGCATAGAAGCCATGTAAAAGAGGATATCCTACGCTGCCTGGTGCATTACAAGTTCTAGCGCTGAACATGTGATCGCTCTGAAGGAGCTAGTGGGCGCAGGCCAAGAAGGTGGTACTGTCGTAACCTTGAGAAAGAATTTTAAATTTATGCTTTACCGCAACGTGAGACTATCTTGTGTCTTCCTGGCCTCCAAAGCTGCGTGGTGCATTGCATGTTGTATTGATGAACATGTCATCGCTCTTAAGGATCTAGTGGGCACAGGCCAAGAATGCGGTACTGTCGTAGCCTTGAGAAAATTGTAAATATTTTTTGCCGCAACCTGAGAATATCTTGCGTCTTCCTGACCTCCAAAGCTGCCTGGCGCATTGCATCTTCTAGTGATGAACATGTGATCGCTCTGAGGGAGCTAGTGGGCGCAGGCGAAGAAGGTGGTACTGTCGTAGCCTTGATCAAGAATTGTAAGTTTGTTCTTTGCCGCAACCTCAGACTATCTTGCGTCTTCCTAGCCTCCAAAGCTGCCTGGTGCATTGCATGTTCTAGGGATGAACATGTCATCGCTCTTCAGGAGCTAGTGGGCGCACGCCAAGAAGGTTGTACTGTCGTAGCCTGGCGCTCCAGCTTGGCACGACTGCTGGCGGTTCTCCAGTCTTTGTCCTTTGTTGTATTACGTGTGATATTTTTAGCCACAGAATGTCCACCAGTTGTTCTCTTCTTTAGACGCAGTCTCTAGTCCTTTTGCAGCCTGGGTTTCTTTGAACCTCTTGGTAGCATTGTTTTCTTCGCCGTGCTCATCTCCTTCTGCGGCCTTTCTGTACTTACTTTGTTTCAGTGGCTCTCGGCCGGAGCTAGGACTACCGCTGCCTGCCATAACAACAGTTCTTTGTAATCCGATCTGTATGGTGCGCATGGCAGTGTTCACTATGGAAAATGTACACAGGAGAGCTTTACTCTGATAGCGCAGAGTACATGCGAGCACACGAGAGTGCACACGAGTGTAGTTGAGATTTCTGTGCTCAGTCCCCTTGCGTCTTCTTTTTTTCAATGGTCGCAGACCACTAGCTTTTCGGCGGGCAGGCCACCAAACTCCAGGACAGGTATGACGCCTGTAAACTGCACAATGACCTTTACTGGGAGAAACACGGAGCAGAAACCATGGGCAAGGCAACGTTAATTCCTGCATATTCGATCTTTGTCTTGAACACAGTGCAAGTTGAGAGCGACGCCTTGTGGACGCATGGTGGCATAGAAGCCATGCAAAAGAGGATATCCTACGCTGCCTGGTGCATTGCAAGTTGTAGTGCTGAACATGTGATCGCTCTTAAGGAGCTAGTGGGCGCAGGCCAAGTAGGTGGCACTGTCGTATCCTTGAGAAAGAATTTTAAACTTGTTCTTTACCGCAACCTGAGACTATCTTGCGTCTTCGTGGCTTCCTGTTACCCTCTTCTTTTGCTTTTGCTGGTGTCCATCTGTTGTGCTCTTCTTGTTATTCTTCCAGCTTGGCACGACTGCTGGCGGTTCTCCATTCATTGTCCTTTGTTGTATTACGTATGTTATTTTTAGCCACAGAATGTCCACCAGTTGTTCTCTTCTTTAGACGCAGTCTCTTGTCCTTTTGCAGCCTCTCTTCTTTGAATCTCTTGGTAGCATTGTTTTCTTCGTCGCGCTCATCTCCTTCTGCGGCCTTTCTGTTGTTACTTTGTTTCGGTGGCTCTCGGCCGGAGGTAGGAGTACCGCTGCCTGCCATAACAACAGTTCTTTGTAATCCGATCTGTTTGGTGTGCACGGCAGTGTTCACTATGGAAAATGTACACAGGAGAGCCTGACTCTGATAGTGAAAGAATACATGCGAGCACACGAGTGTAGTTGAGGTTTCTGCGCTCACTCATTGACTCTGGCAGTCTTTGTATAGTGTCACTTCTTTGACCAGTCTGTCTGGGGCTGGGGCTAGGACTGCAGCAACCTACCGTAATAAGGACAAAATTCAGCGAGCACGATGTGTGACTTCGACCGCGTGCACTGCAGATATCATAGTGTAGACACGATCAAACAGTTTATGATGTCCACTGGCGGTGGCGTGGTCAGTGAGCTACATTGCTCTCATTCTCTGCAGTGTGAATTTTTGACGACAAGAATCATTCGCACACTTAGTGTCCGTGTTGCGCGTCGAGTGGTCGCGGGCGCTAACTCAAGAGTGGTTCAGACAACAGAGTGTTCTCCGCAAAGGTCAGAGGGAAATTCTTTGTCGCATGGACCCCTTTACCAGCAATGGAGCATGTTCCTGTTCAGTGGTGCTTGCGTAGAAGGCCAGTCAGGGTTGAGGTCAGATGTGGTCATGGAACCATTTGGGCTCCGAAGCCATAAGCAGAGCATCCACCAAAACTGGTCTTTGATTCTGGGCAGTCTGTGAATTTTCCTGACGCATGCATGGTCGCGTCATAGAGTTTGTGCGCTATTTCAAGTCAAGTTCAAGCCGCACATGCGCTGTTTTGGCCCACCAAATCGTTTAATGTCTGACGAACAGGCGTCATAAGTTGGAGGGAATGGCATAGCGATGGGCAAGGGAATTACGTCGAGGGTGCGGGGCCCAATCTACGTGGAGACGTAGCTAGGGTCCGCGTGCGCAAATATTATATAATACTTCAAAGAGGGGTAATTCGAAATACCTGTGCTGACAATAGCAGCTGACTTTCTTTGGCCTTCTGCAGGTAGACCGTGCGAAGTCATTGTAGCGTCTGAACGAACAGCGGAGGCCAGCAGTTGCAAAGACAGGCCCGTCACCTTGGCCCTCGCAGTCAAGAAGATTACACTCAAATCCGCGTGCTCCACCACTGCGGCGTTATTGTAGCGCCTGAGCGAAGAGCTGAGGCCACCGCTGAACGAAGACAGGCCCGTCACCCTCGCAGTCAAGAAGACCACGCTCAATCGCTAGAGCACGCCCGGGCGCCCAGCCATGCGATCTGCTTGCTCCACCAGAACGCGGTACTGAGCATCTGACAATGAAGTGTGCCAGCTCATCTTCAACATGACACCAAGCTCCAAGACACAGGCGGTGTCGTTTGTGGACACAAGCATGTTTCATGCGCATGGCACTTCATGCAGAGAGTCACTTTGCTTGACCCAGGCTTTCCTGATCTTCCGTGGACAAGCTGACATCCTGAACGGAGGCGGAGACGTCTTTGCTCTCAGGCGCCGCATTAGGTCCCTTTTGTGGGACCACTGCATCTCTGCATCAAGTTCTGACGGGGTATGTCAGGCCGTCATTATTCGTCTTCCGTGATTGGTCTTCTGTGGAATTCACTCATGCGCAGCAGAATGGAAATCCGATTTCTGGACCCCTAGCAGGAAACTATTGACCCATGGTCTGGATCCATCGTATTTGCCAGGTTGGTTGGGTTATCTGGCACCCTCCTCATTAAGAATATAAGACGGCTTTGGGTTTCGTAACCCGTGTCGCGGGCATGAATACGTGACGTTACCAAACCTCCTGGTTGATATTTTACAGGGACAAAGTAGGACGTCCCCTATCGCTTTTTCAGCAGCAGCAGCAGCAGCAGCAAAGCAGCAAGCACTGGCAAGCAGCAG